CGCGCATGGTGCAATACTCGTGCCTGTAGTTTATCAAGGTGCGCTTGCGTCGGGATAAAAGCTTCAACTCCAGAAACTGCTGGCCCTAGAACCCGAGAAAAAGAAGACAGCTCGCTTCTCAACTGGTGGAATACCATACTGATACCAATATCGGCCCATGCTGTGAAAACCTGCATCAATTGCTGCAAGCCTGGCCGGAAGCTCGCTGTTGAACGCACAGTCTGCACGCGCGAGGCCCCCGGCATCTTGGCGAGGTCGCTGGGCACACCGGCTGTCGGAAGCGCTCTGGCCTTAAATCTCGCGCGGCCAGCCTGCGGGCCTTCTCCGAAAAGGGCCAGCACCGTCTCATTCTTCGTGGGATTGAGGAGGTAGTTGTGAGTGAGGAGCTGGTCAGAGAGGAGGGTGTTGTAGGAGATCGGTTTGGAGCTGAGCTCGGTATGAGACGCGGTGCCACTCACTCCAGTAACCAGCGTCTTGGTAGCATCGTCTACATACGTGTGAAACGACAGGTCTAACTCGATAGGTTCCTCATTCTCCTCATCTTGCGGCAAATCAACAATGCACCAGTGTGAAGTCTCATCATCTCCCTCGATAAACGCATCCTGGGTCTGCTCGAAAACGATGTCTATGTCCTTGGTGAAGATCTGGACGGCCCACGGGTCCCCCTGGAGAGCTCCCACATGAGGCTTGGCGAAGAGGAACCCGTCGGAGCCTTGAAAGGCAACAGCTGACCTCCTAAAACGTTGTTCACCAAAGCGGATCTCCTGGGGCTGCATAATGGCCTCGTTGGTGCTCGAGAGGTGGGTCCAGCCTGTGCTGCCGAAGGCGTTGGCGATGTCCTTGTGGTCGCGAAGACGCCAACTCAAACTCTGTTGAATCATCCTGGCCGCCTCTCGTCGTCGTCCAGCCACGCAGCCGCGAGCAAAGAGAGGCCCCCGATCACGCTGATCGGGTCGGAGGCCTGCGGCGATAAAGGCCTTGCCGAACGGGCGCAACACGTGCACGAGCCTCTTAAAGTTGAAGGCGATGCCCTGGAATGAGTGCCAAACTGCTGGTGTTTGTCCTGACCGATAAACTCGATGTAGAAATACCTTTAAGTCGTACCTGGTCCATTTCTGGTCGACCGTAGGAGCCTCGTAGCCTAGCCCTGACACCTTTTGGAGATCCTTCTGTAAGGGCGCAGGAGCATCCATAAGAGCTCTAGAGGGAGCGACCACGGGGGAGCTGCTCTTCGTTCACTGGCCTTCCGAAAGTATCTGGATATCAACTGGAGCTTCTCCGTGGCCCACTGGAGGCCGTTCTTCGTGAAGGGGGGCATGAACTGTTCGGTCTCCAGCCCAAACCCAGGATGGTACAAACAAATCCTCGGTCTCCTGAAGCCAGTCGATGATGGCGGCCTCCAAGCCCCCCTGGCGGGAGGGCAACTGAAGCGGAGCCTTGAGGTCTTCGGAGCAGAGAACAGCAGCAGCAGCGTGTATATAATTGCGCTTCTTGGGGCCCGTGCCCCTGGCCGACAGCAGGCGAGACAAGCGAGGAACCTCGGCCTTGCGGTCCTGCTGGTGGGCCGCCACCAGCTCGTCGGTGATGTCCTGGCGCCGCAGTGCGAGGTGCCGTCGGCGAAGGCGTCGTAGGTCCTTGCTGAGCGCCCGAAGCTCTTCTGTAATACTGGCAATCTCGTTGATATGAGTAGCTGCGCCTAGTGCCTCACGAAGTTGACGCCGTTGCTGTATGAGACTGGCGACGGGGGCTGCTCGCCGCTTGTACTCCGGTGATGGCGAAGGTGGAGCCGTGAAATAGCCGCTGCCTCGCCGATGACCTGAAGCAGGTAGGGCCAATCTCTGTTGGGTGTCTGGTCCCCCCCGTGAAACTGACTCCACTCATCCATTTCGTCCGAAATCCGTTGTTCGACCTTTTGAAGAAATTCGACTTTGTGGGTACCTCGGCGTAGTCCGTCCATAAGGGCAAAATCCCACCAGCCCTTTGGGCGTGAGTGGTTTAGAGAGCCCGCTCTGCTCTCAACCCTCCTTCTTCCCCTTCGGGGAGGGGTTTACCCCTCCCCCTACCCCCTCCCCCTGGGCCTGGAGAGGGCGCCTCGCGGGTGGTCAGAGGGGTCTTTTTCGACGCCTGGGAGGGCTAAAAAAACGACACCCCTCACGAGGATTATGGCCCCGACGGGGGGAGGGAGAAAAAATGCCCCCCTCTTCTTCGAAGCCAAACTCATTGATTTTACTACGGTTGTGGCCCCATTTTGGCCTTCTGAGGGGGCAGCGCTAATTAAAGCTCCCCTCTTCTTTCAAGCCAGAATCATTGATTTTACGAAGGTTGTGGCCCCATTTTGCCCTTCTGAGGGGGCAGCGCTCATTAAAGCTCCCCTCTTCATTGATCGACGTCCTCCAAGATGGCCCCAAGAAGCGCCCTGGAGGCACCAAGAGGCCCCAAGATGGCCCCAAGAGGCCCCCAGGAGGCCCCCAAGAGGCCTCCAAGAGGCCCCCAAGATGCCCCCAAGAGGCCCCTAAGAGGCCCCAAAAGGCTCCCCCGAGGCACCCAAGAGGCTCCTGGAAGCCCCTAGGGCCGCCAAGAGGCCCCCAAGACGCCCCAAACGGCCTCCAAGAAGCTCCCAAGAGGCCCGAAGAGGCTCCCCCAAAGCACCCAAGACGCTCCTAGAAGCCCCCGGGGCCGCCAAGAGGCCCCCAAGACGCCCCAAAAGGGGACGAGGTGCCCGAACGCCTCACGCCACGAGGAGCCCGAACGACTCACACCAGGACGAGGGGCCCCAACGACTCACACCACGAAGAGCCCGAACGACTCACACCAGAAGGAGGGGCCCGAACGACTCACACCAGGACGAGGCGCCCGAACGACTCACACCACGAGGAGCCCGAACGACTCACACCACGACGAGGGCCCCGAACGACTCACACCACGAGGAGCCCGAACGAGTCACACCAGGAGGAGGGGCCCGAACGACTCACACCAGGACGAGGGGCCCGAACAACTCACACCACGAGAAGCCCGAACGACTCACACCAGGACGAAGAGCCCAAACGACTCACACCACGAAGAGCCCGAACGACTCACACCAGGAAGAAGGGCCCGAACGACTCACACCAGGACGAGAAACCCCAAACGACTCAAACCACGAGGGGCGCTTTCTCTCCCTCCTCCTCCGCCTCGCCCTTCTCCCGCTCCCCCCACAAGGAGGATGTACAAGGAGGCGGGAGGAAGGAGGAACAGGGGAGATATGCGGGGGCAGGCGGAAACACGCCTGAAAAACACGACTGTCGGCATGCTTCGCAAGAGTTGCTGGTTTGAGATGGGCTGGTGGGGATGCGCGAAGCGTGAAGAATTCCACTCTGCGGGTACCTCGGCGTAGTCCGTCCATAAGGGCATCTCTGTTCCAGCGGTGCACTGTCTGCACAAAGCCCAGCTGTGTATGGTCAGAAACTGCTGTCGGTAATCCAAGTGTGTCCGTAAACGAATATGCAAGTCGAGCGTGAACTGGGATGTGGTCTCGAGGCGTATGAGCCGCTATGGCATGTAATGATATGCCCTTACGTCGTAGCGGCCCAGCCGTGAGTCTGAGAAAACGAGCACCTCGGGACGATGATGTAGTACAGCTGACTGCCTTGCCCTTTGTTGTTGAAGTATGTAGCGCCATATCCACGGTAGGTGTTGAGCACCGCCATATCGAGCATGTCCAGGAACGTGAGGGGAACCTCGGCTGAATATCGCTGTCGTACTTTGTTGTGGTGAGGTCCAACCGCTGTGCTCTCTATGGGCCGCCAAAGTTCCGAACCGTCGAATCGCGAGAGCCCAAAGCCCGAGTTAAGGTCGGTGCAGATGATTGGGAAAACTCATGCGCGCTCCAGAAAGGAACTGGCCGTATCCCGTATCCATTTCATTAGAGAGTCACACGTCTGATAATAAGCCTTGAAATGACCAGCCTTCGCGGAAACTGGTGGATTGTAAAGTGAAACCACAGCCTCATCGTAATGCTTACAGCGTGCACGCAGAGCAACACCTCGGCAAAGAATTGGGCACACACATATGTGTACCACCGTGCTGCGCTTGATGTGCGGCCCGGGGAGAATAGAACAGCCACAAGACTTATTGCTGTGCTGAGATTTGAACCAGCCAACGTCCAACCACCATATAGTGCCCATTCGGCGCCATGTAGCCGCATCAGCTGGTCCGTAACGCTGCACACCTGTTGAATTGAGACAAGTAAAACCAGTGCTCTGCGATAAGTCGGCGATGTCCTGCAATCTGTCAGAGGTACTGGCGTACATGGGAGTGAATTGCAGGATACCCAATGTGTGCTTGACCATCTCCAGCGCCGTAGTCAGTATGCGGATGGCCCAGGCTGCACTTGTCCCTGTGGGCGCTCGAACTCATGCAAGTGAACGGCCAAGAGAGACACGCTGCCTCGACTGAACGGACGCCGAAGAGGTAGCAGTGTGGGATAAATTAGTGTACGGTGGTGTAGGAGAGTGTGGTCAGCCCTGCAGAGCCGACGCTTAGGAGGAGGAGGGGGGGAGGAGGAGGAGGGGGAGGAGGAGGGAGGAGGAGGGAGGAGGAGAGGAAGAGGAGGAGAGAGGAGGAGGAGACGAGGAAGAGGACGAGGAGAAAAAAAGAAAAAAAATGGGGAGGAGGAGGGGCAACGAAGCTCCGAGCGGGGCGAACCTCGCGGCTCGAGGCTCGAGTTCGTCGGGCGCCGTCGTCGGCTGGCATTACCAGCCTCGGCATGCCCCCCCCCAGCGCCGCAGCCTCGCCGGGGCGCCGCCCGGGGCGTGCGCCGGCTCGTCCCCGACGCCGCGGGAGGCCCGCTTGGTGAGAGACGGAGGGGCGGGATCACAGCCATGGAGGCGCTCCTTCCTCCTCCTCCTCCTCCTCCTCCTCCTCCTCCCCTTCCTCCTTGCTCCTCCTCCTCCGCCTCCTCCTCCTCCGCTCCCAAGCCCGAAAACGGCCCCCTCACAACCGAAATCAGCAGAAGACCTTGTCGAGCCCAACACCTCGGCCCTGCCCACACCGGGGGGGGGCGGGGGGGGGGAACATTGAACCTGCCAGCGGCGAAGCGCCGCCGCTCGGCGGTGGGCCCCCGACAGCGGCCCCCGGCAGCGCAAGACCGCACGCTCCTGGGCGGGGTGCGCAGTCGGGCCCCCATCGGCGATCGGTGGGCGACGGGGGGTCGATCCCCTCCTGAGCCTATCCCCCCCCCCTGACGTTGTCCCCGATGCTGGCGGCGGCACCAGAGGTGAGACCGTACGGGGCAGGCAAGGGGCAACGACGCGCATGACCTCGCAGTGCGCGAGCACAAAGGGAGGCGGGTCACAGGTCGACTCTCTGGAGCTTTCGAGTTCGGCTGTAGCCCTTCACCTTCTGCGTCATCTGCTCGAAGTCTATCATGACGATCCCGTTCCTGACCTTCAGCTCCCTGATCGCCGTCTTCTCCGACGGAGAGGCCTTGTATTCTTTGAACATGGCCTCCAGGGGTTCCTGGCAATGTCGGTCGAAGGGCTGCCAGCCTGACTGAACCTGGAAAGACCATCTGACCAAAATCTCGCGCGCCTTGACGAATCGAGTCGCCAGCCTGGTCGTCTCCTCCTCCTTCCTCAGGCAATCCAGCTTGCCCTGCCAGGTTTTCTGGTCCATCTCCCGACCGCCAGCCCTCGACTTGAGCTCCGCCTGGAGACTCTTTTTTTATTATTTTGGGTAACGGCTGTTACCGGGGGGGGTGGGCTGGCGGGTAGCGGTAACGGCGGCCGCGGCGTGCGCCCGCCAGGGTGCGTCCGCACCATCGGCACATCAATTGCCATACCTGCTGAGAGGAGGGGGGTCTGCCCTGCACCCCGAAAACGTACGATCGTTAGCGTTACCCGGGGGGGGTGGGGTGGGAGGGGTTGTGTCCCGGTAGCAAGCGTTACCCGCCACAGGAGAAGACAAAAAAAACGCTCTCCTGCATGTCCTTCATCCAGGTCAGCTTCCACTTGTGCGCCTTCGCAATCTTCTGTACCCAGGCCTGCTTCTCCTTCAGCCTGTCGGGGACCACCAGCCGTTCCACGTGCCTGTCCAGGCTCACCTCGCCGTGGATCTGCACCTCCTTGTACTTCCCCCACTGCTCGATCACGGCCATGGAATCGCCTATGATGGGACTGTTTTCCACCGCCACCACCACAAGTTGGAGGGGGTAAGGAGGAGGAGGAGGAGGAGGAGGAAAAGGAGGAAAAGGAGGAGGAGGAGGAGGAGCCCCTCCCCCTCCAACTTATGGTGACGGTGGTGGAATACAGGCCCATCAGCCTAGCTTCTCGTCGCCGCCCTTGGCCACGCGCAGAGTCTCCTTCAGCTCCTGCGGGGGAGCCGAAGGGTACCGATGCCGCCACCTCCTCCTCCTCCTCCTCCTCCTCCGCCTCCTCCTCCTCCTCCATCTCCTCCTCCTCCTCATCCTCCTCCTCCTCCTCCTCC